GAATCGGGGATAAAATGGGTGTAGTCCCACGTGCATGGGCTGGGTGAGCTCAAATGAAGCTCAATACGAGGCCCAAACCCAACTGGGTTGGGTGACGAGTACGTCATCGCACGATCCCACGTAAACCGGCCAGTGGCGAAACCAGCCAGTCATCCCGGGGAGGGCCCAATTTGCCGCGGCGCACTACCCCCACTCCGGTCATCCCGCGGCGCACCACCCCACTCCGGCATCGAAAGGGCGCTCAAAGGGCTTTTGTGGATGCTCTCAAAAATTTTCGCAAGATATAAATGAATACTCTAGAGATTTTTCTAAAAATCAAACTAAGTCCGGAATTAAACTGGTATACTTAAACTGAATTGTTTTAACTCGAAAAATACTCGAATTTATACTAATAAAAATATCGGACTCAATTATAATAATAAATCAAGAATTATACTTCCTTTTGAATAGACGAAAAGCTGAAAAATTTGAGAAAATGAAGCCTCGAACGATCAAACTCGTTCTCGACAAATTTGCTCCTTTTGATACTATTTAATGCAGAAATTCAAACTCCCATAATAAATGCTCGGAACTCCAAAAAATACGAAATTTGTCCGTATGGAATCGTGCTTGAATTGTCTACACACTCCAACTCGATTCTTGTTAAACCGAGGTCACACGCAACCTTACGGAACCCCGCAAAACGGCTTTTTATTCTTCTATTATGCGCACTCGACTTCGAGTTTCTCAAAATAAATGCTCGAAACTTCGAAACGTGAAATAAATTTTACGAACGACTTCTACTGTTCTCGTGCTTTCAAGAAAAAGCACTCCCGCTAATTTTCAGCACGCCTAACGAGGGTCGACGGTTACCCGAAGTCTAGACATGAAAATGACAATAAAATCACCGTCACTGTCATTTTTCTCTCAACTTCGGGCTACCCAAAATAAATGGTCGGGACCTCAAAATCATAAATCGATGCCACCAACGCACTCTCTGTTTCCCGTACTTTCATAAAAGTATTTTCGGTAATGATCGACTCGGTTTATGAGTCCCGTCGGTACACCGCAAGTCGGCTAATTAACCAACTTAAAATATAATAAAAATCAAAAAATTATTAAATTCTGCTACTGTTATAGTTCTCCTTGTCCCGAAACCAGGATCTCGTTTCGGGGAGGCCCAATTTACCTTTAAAAAAAATTTCACGATAAAACCGTTGACGCCCCTCCGGCCATGTATGTACCGCATGAAACCGGGGAGGGCCCAACATGCACTCAAAGGAAAATCTTCCATTTCCAACAAAATCCTCCACCCCTAGTTCGATTTTTTTTTTTTGGGAGGGCCGGCGCCTCTCCGGGTGCCAACATAGTTTCGCCCCTGAAACCGGCTCTAATAATGTCGGGGGAAAAACGGGTGCACAATCGCACGAAATGCAACATAACAAGGTGAACTTAGGTGCAGTTAGTGAGTTCCATCACAAAACCAATTGACAGAAGGAAGAATAGTCCACTAGACTTACAAGTTAGGGCTATTTTCCATGTATATAAAGAACAACTTACAAGTGACATTTTAACGGAACTTATGTGTATATGCTACTTTCTACATTTGCATTATTTCATTGATATAATTGATGTCACAATATTTAAACTTTAGGTTTTATTAATTTTGCAGCAGCCTAATGGCCACTGATTGTGTAGTGCTGTATGGTTCCATTATATTATGCCCTGTCGCCTTTGAAGATAAGTTTTTCTTTTCTCTTCTCCTTCCTTTTTTTTTTTAACCTTTCTTTTTGTATGTGTGTGCGTGGAAATGAAGATACGCCGCGTATCTTTTTGCAATATTGGAACATGAAGAAAGTCGTTAAAAGGGTGATTGTTTATCAATTCACTAAAAAAAATCAATCAAAATTCAAATTTATCTCAACTTTAATTCAACTCAACTATCTTCAATATTATCAATATAATTAAATAATATCAACTAATCATTCAACTAATCATTCTTACATATCATATTAACTTTAATTCACTATTCATCCACTCACATAATTTTAACTAACCATCACTTCAAATCATTGTTCTCTACTTTTACATCATATCAACTTTAATTATTTTATTTTAAATATTATTTTAATATATCCATTAACAACTAACCATATTATTTTTTTTTTAAATTAACTATAATTAAGAAAAAACCAATTAATTTCTACATGAATTCACAAACAATCACCCCTAAAATTATGAAACTTTGTTAAAAGTTAAAAACATACACTTTATCCCTACCTATAGCTTATAGGATTGTATATCACATATATAGTTATTTTTTTATTAATTGTTTAACTTAACCTCTCTTATTTAGGTTTCGTTTTGGTCAAATCTCACTAGCTATAACCCAACACAAATTGTTATTAGGCCTATACAAATGCAAGTGGCTGCATATATACAACTCACATTTCTTATTTTTTTATTTGATTGATAACATGATTTCAAAAATTATATTGAGCTCAGCCTAATAATTGGTTACCCATCTCCATTCTTGGTACAAATTTGATGTTGTTTGAAGCGACCTAATTATGTTTGTGCTAGCTCTCATTCGATTGGGCGAACTTAAATTAAAATTCCCAAATGACCTACTTCTGTATTTATGTTTGAGCTTGGATAGGCCAAACGAGCAATTGATCGACTTGAGGTGTCCGAGATTTGGATATAGAAGATTCTAGAATAAAGACGATTTTTCATGTGAGGAAAGTGGATATTTTATTAATGTTTTTGATATTTTGGGTAAAATTTTATATATGTCATTCATTTTTCTACAAATAGCAACTTAGCATGTTTGAAAATTGAAAACCCTAATCACATTATCATTACAAAATTGTGAATTAACAAATGCACACATACATTATCTAGATTTATAATAGAGCTGACAGTTTTTTGAGATGTTGTGATGGTTAAGATGTATCCAACTGCACCTGAGCCTCTGCTCTTCAGAAAGCCCAAACAAAAATACTACTTACATTAAATTTGTTGGGCTTTTTATCTGGGCCTATATGCTCTAATATCCATTTTGAATTGTTATAAGAGCCCCGAATTATCTGGGCCTATATACTCCATATTCTGAATCATTTCCCAAATTAGCCTAACCGTATTTTGACATGAAATTGTAACCCTTAATCTCAATTAGAATGTTTCAAAAAGAAAAAAAGAAAAAAAAAAGGAAAACAAAAGGGCATTTGTAACTTAACTTTAAACGCCAATAAGAAGATTGTATCAATCAATGAAGAGCATTTAATTTTTTTCTAGGGAAGACTTAGGTCTTAAGTCTCACTTTATTTCCAAATAAAATGAAAGTGAGATAATTAACAAGACAATTATATTTTTATAATCAAACCTCATAGTATAAATCAATGAGTTATAATATAACAGTAACTAGTAGTTCCTCATAACTATTTGAAAATTTAAAAATCGCCTAATTTTTTTACTTAAAACATGGTGTATTAGTAAATTGAATTGAGTTCAAGCTCAAGCTCTACTCCTAATAACACTCGAGCTCGGACTCAAGACTTTATCAATTCGAACTTGATATTTTGATACATATGTTCGGGCTCGGCTCGTTTCACAATATTATGGAGTCAAGTTGAGCTCGAGTTTCAAATACTCAAGTCGTGGTTCAACTCAATTATTAGAATTAACGAGTTAGACTAAATTACATAATAATTCTATTTTATGAGCCTTAGTGGATCAAACTTATTAACTAAACGAGCTTTAAATAAAATTGAGCTGAGCTCACGAGTTACTTATTTAATTTAGCAGCTTATGCCATGTTTGATAAAAATAGCTGATAAATTAGTTTATAGCTTATCAGTAATTTTTTAGCTTATAATTTATGGTTTATGACTTATAGCTGAAAAACTAGCTTATATGATAAAAGTGTTTAGTAAAATTAGCTGAAAAGATAGCTGAAATAAAAATTTCAACGAGCTTATTTGAAACCCAAAGAAGCTTATCAAATAAGCTCGAATTTATTAAAAAAAACTCGTTCTACCAAATAAAGTTTATTTGAATACAGGGAACTTATAATTTAGCTTATTTGTCTACCAAATATAGTCTTAGTCTCTCCACAATTTTTTTTTCCCAACCGGTCCATTCACTTAACCCGGTTCATGAGCAGACTTCGCGGTCTAACATATGCCTATAAAATCCGCCCCATAGCCATATCATAATTTTCCCCTTCCTTTTGATGTTTCTCTCACTTATCTCAAATTTTCTTCTTGTCAATTAACCTTCTGTTTGAAAATCAAACGAATCGTCGACTGGGAACTTCGCCGCCGACCTTTATCCGATGGCCGGAATATTGGTATGCATTCCATTAAAGTTTTCATTTGGTCCTTTTTGTTCTGTTCAGTTGATTTTTATTCTTTTCGTGTTATCCACGTTTCGGAGCTAGCAAAAAACACGGTTCCGAAGCCCTAATTAATATGCTTCTTCCCTTTAGGAAAATCTGACGATTGTCGTGTTCATTTCTTTCTGGTAATTAGGTGGGTCCACTGAAATCGCTCCACTAGGGTTTGGAAAATTTGCAGGAATCGGTTTTTGCGTTAACCATTTGGGGATAAAAAAAATATAAGTTTGGAGGCAGAGTTTTGTTTTGGGGAAGTTGTGATCTGTCGAAATTTCTTTATTTAGTGGTGTAAAGACTGGGGAAGCGAGGTGTGGGATAAGGAGGATAATGTGTATACTTTGCGTGATTCAGAAGTGGTCGAGGAGGATTGCTACCATGCTGCCATGGCTAGTAATTCCACTGATTGCCCTGTGGGCCCTGTCTCAGCTCCTACCGCCTGCGTTTCGGTTTGAAATCACGTCTCCACGGCTTGCCTGTGTGTTAGTCCTGTTGGTAACCCTCTTTTGGTACGAGGTTCTGATGCCTCAGCTATCAGCTTGGCGGATCAGGAGGAATGCTAGGCTTAGGGAGAGGAAGAGGTTCGAGGCTATGGAGTTGCAGAAACTGAGGAAGACTGCAACTCGGAGGTGTAGAAATTGCCTGACTGCATATCGGGATCAGAATCCTGGTGGGGGTAAGTTTATGTGCTCCTACTGCGGCCATATTTCGAAAAGGCCGGTCCTGGACTTGCCCGTGCCACCAGGGATGGGCAATTCGGGGATTCTGAAAGATCTGGTGGGCAAAGGCGGGAAGATATTGAATGGAAAGGCTTGGTCTGATAACGGGTGGATGTGCGGGCAGGATTGGCTGGAGAATGGGAACTGGGCCGCCGGGCCTTTTGCTGGGAAATCAAGTTATGGGAAAAGGAGTGGCGGGGGCTTGTTTGGTGGGGATGACAACCATTGTCTGGCTGAGAAGTCTTATTCTCGTGTTTTTATTTTTGCCTGCAGGGCACTAACAGCAGTTTTCTTGTGTGTCGTGTGGGTTTGGAGAAAGATTTTTAGGGTTAGTTCCTCCGGAGATGATGCTTTAGCCGATGCAGATTGCCGAGAAATGTTGGATAATAGAGGTGAGAATGGTGGGAGTGGTCAGGAGAGCAGAGGAGAGAAAGCTCGAAGGAAAGCCGAGGAGAAGAGGCAGGCTAGATTAGAGAAGGAGCTATTAGAGGAGGAGGAAAGAAAGCAAAGAGAGGAGGTTGCGAGGTTAGTTGAAGAAAGAAGGAGACTACGGGATGAAAAAATGGAGGCTGAAAAAGATTATGGAAAGGGTGGTTCACCTCGTGCGAAGGCACGGGATAGCAAAAAGGAAGCTGAAAGGAAGCGTCAAGAAAGGAAGAAGGAGAGGGATAAGGGGTCCAGCAAGAGAAATTCTGATGCTGAGGAGTTGGAAAGGAGAGCAGGCAACCAAACCATTAAGAATGAAAGGGGGCAACACACCAGTACACCTGATAGTGTGAGAACTAATGGCAGTGAAATGGGGCATGGGTATAAGGGTGCTGGTGCAGCCATTCATGGCCGAGGGAATGCTGGGACGAGATACTTTGATAGGATGAGGGGAACCTTTCTATCTTCTTCTAGGGCATTCACAGGAGGCGGTTTCTTTGGGAAGAGTACAAACACTTCTACTATTTCTAGAGATCACAAAACTAGTGGATTGGTAGGAACTGTTCAATCTTCGACCTATAGGAAAGAAATACCAGAACGGGTTTCTGGGCGATCAATCGGAAATGGAGATGATAAGAGTGCTAATCGCCCTGTAAGTTATTTCTAAATTCTTTAACTCCATTAATTCAATTTGAATGTGTTTCCCCCTCCCTTCTTTTTGTGTACTTTCCCTTCTAGGTTATTTGAAGTGGTGTTGGGGTGGGTGGTCGGGGGGCATTAATTAGCAGCTACACTATTTGTGTTCGTGAATTTTAATTTTTTCTATTGATGTCGACAAACGACTGAATATTTACATAGCTGCTGGATACATTGTAATCTGTTCCTGCTGTGCTCCTTAATTTAATTATTTATCTGAGAGGCTACAAGGAAACTTGATTCATGAGCTTGTCATGTTTGCTCGTTTTGGGAGAATTGTTATACAGTAACCATTAGTGCCAAATGACAGTTTTTCTTATGTTGTTTGCTTCATATATGTGGAATACACATTTATACGAGGTGTTCTATTGCAGATACTCATTGAATCTCAACCAAGTACAGCACCTAAAAAATCATGGCAGCAATTATTCACTCGCTCATCTGCTGGTTCTCCATCATCACCCTCAAATCCTAATGTCATAAGCAGACCAACAGGGAACCACAAATCAGAAGTTCAAAACCAGCCCGTTTCTGGCCAACTCACCTCAACACAATCATTTGACAACCCTATTAATTTTGGTCTGGCAAATCCGTTTAGTTTACCTTCATTTCCTTTTGTATCTACTAATGGCACCAGTACTATTCCTCCAGTTACCTCTGGTGGCATGCTTCCTAAAATGTCAGATTCCCCGCACCAGCGTTTACCAGAGGAGTTGGAGATATTTGAAGACCCTTGTTATGTTCCGGACCCTATATCCTTGCTTGGGCCCGTCTCAGAATCGCTTGATAACTTTCAGCTGGATCGGGGTTTTGCAACCGATCCTAGATTTGAAAAACCAGGCCCTGTGAAGACTAAAGCTTCACCTTCTGTGGTTACCAAGCCATCACCGATTGAGTCTCCATTGTCACGATCACGTGTGTCTGAGGAACGGCATGCCAATTGTCTCCTTTTCCCGGGTAGCCCAAAGGACCAGGACAATAATTTTGTCAACACAAATGACAATCGAACATGGCAGATGTGGAATAGCTCTCCCCTTGGACAGGATGGTCTTGGTATAGTTGGTGGGCCTGCCATTGGTTGGCATCTGTATCCAGAGATGAACTTGCTGAAAAAGGAAGATCACATCCATCCAGTCCCTCGTAAAACAATGGCATCTCTGTTCAAGAAAGATGAGCAAGCTATGCCTAATGGTCATCCTTCACAGAATGTTTTGTTTGGACATGCTCCGAATGGTGGAGCATTTAATACATCTTTGCCTTCTAATGTGGATGATTCGTGGTTGCCAAGAACTTTATTTGGACCGAATATAGGTCCCGAAAATCAGAATCTGCCGAAGCCTAAGGAGGATGCTTTTAAGAATGGCCTTATTTATGGAAATTCCAGTGTTCCTACTGCTAACCAACAATATGACCTGTCTGCTGCGGATTCGTGGCCTAAGTAAGCATGACTTCATGAGTTATATTCTATGCTTCTTTTCTCTCTATTGGTTTTTGTTGCCTGGAAAAGTGTTAAATGATTACAATGTTACTTGTTGAAGTACCCATTATAAAGATATTTTCAATTTGTTATGGTTCAGGAATTTATATTTTTACTTTTTTGTCGTTTACATATTATCTGTTTTCACGCGGACTCGCTTATATTGCTATATGATATTCTTGATAGCTCATTATATCAATGATGTTCCTTTTACATATACGTGTCTAAACATAGCCTTAGCTTCATCTGAGGTTGACCATTGAAAATTTTCATTTCCTACAGTTGTGTTGAATGTTAATTTATTTTGTTTTCCAAAAGTGCTGAACTTAATCAGGTTTATAGCAATATTTTTTTTTGGATCCATACATGTTAGTCTTTTACACTCTAGTTAGGAATAATAAGCTTGTAGATGTCTTGTAATACTATGGATACTTATTGTGGTCTATATATTTGGCCTCTTTCATCTGCTAATGGATGACTCAGTTAAGGCTGTAACTTGAAAATTTATTTATGCATCTAACCTGCTATAATTTAGGACAATTGATGGGAAAGATGATTTTTTCCTGTATCTCTTTTTCTGTGATAACAATAACAATTTGAGAGCTATCCTAGTGTTTTCAAAGATGTGAATAAAATAATCAATATTTGATAATTATTTATTTTTAAATAAAATCAGATTTTATTTAAATTATCATACCAAATATTGACTTTTAATTAATAATGTGGAGTGGTGGTTTATAACCACCATCAACCATCATTATTTTGTCTCTCAATTATTTGAATCTTTAATCATATTAAAGATAAAACAATAAAATAATAATTCTTGAAAACATTTTTCAAGACTTTATTATTTTAATTTTTTC